AGGTTACGGGATTGTTACATGTGGGGTGTGGTGGCGGGAACTTATTCTGTAAATGACATCGATGCTGTGAAGGAGCGCATACGGGTTGTGCAGGAGAGGTTTGCTGTGGTAAGGATGCAGGGGGGAGTGGGAGAGGTGTTATTGGGTGATCAGCCATTGGCATGCGTGTTGCACACAGAAAAAGCAGCAGCAGGTCACTGCTATCCCGTGCTTGGCAGTCCAGTCGTCGCTGGGGGGTTATCGGGAGGGTCAGCTGTTAAGGACTACGCCAGGTATGAATGCATATGCAGATAGGTGGTACAAGACGTATTGGAACAGTTGTGGGGTGGAGGGGGAGGCTTTAGAGCAAGTGCGTAGTTATGTGCTGTGCAAACTGGGGTGGGGACATCGGGATGCATTGGGTGGGTTCATCACGGAGGAGGAAATATGGAGGGCATTAAGCGAGATGCATAAGGGGAAAGCGCCAGGTATCGATGGGCTCCCGTGTGAGTTTTATCTGCAGCATTGGGAGCTGCTGAGGAGCTTTTTGGTTCAATTGATGAATTTGATGAAGGAGGGGGGTGAATTTGGGGAGAAGCAGGCAACGGCAGTGGTGATGTCGGTCCCAAAGGGGAAGCAACAGCATACCCTTTGGGACTACCGCACCATTGCGTTGCTATGCGCGGATTACAAGTTATTTGCGAAGGTCTTGGGTAACAAGTTTAAGTGCATAGTGAGGAGGGTTGTTTCTGGGAACTAATACAGATTGCCAAGTAGGTCAATGATCACGTGGCATGGGATCCTCAAAGGTTTCGTGGAAGATCGGGGGGAGGGGAGGGGAGGGGGACTGTTAGCCTTGGATTGGCAGGGGGTGTATGATAGGGTGGAAAGAGGAGCATTGAGCGCAATTCTTCAGTGTCAGGGTTTTGGAGACGAAATCATAAAATGGGTTGAAGTGCTGTACAGGGGTGAGCGGGCGAGGGTGCAGATCAATGGATGCTTGGGGGAGGCGATTGTCATGGGGAGGGGGTCTTAGGCAGGGGTGTCCAATGTCACAGCTCTTGTTTGCGTGCTTACAGGACCCCTTTTACCGAATGGTAGAGAACAGCATCTGTGCAGGAGTAGGAGTGGGGAGGACTTGGCCTGGTTTGGTTGGTTATGTGGATAACACAACTGTCCTGGTGCGGGAGGAGATGAGGGTGGGGGAACTAGAGGAGGCAGTGCACTTGTTCGGGGGTGCGATGGGTATGAAAGTAAACTTGGAGAGGTCAATGATCATAGGGTTGGGAGCTTGGGCGGGGAGGGTAGAGTGGGGATGTAACATAGTGTGAAGGCAGGCTGGGACCCTAAAAATATGTGGCATTATATATGTGGATGACTTGAGAGCTGTGAGAGAGGCAAACTCGACTAGGTTGGTGAAAGGCATCCAGGGTCGCCTAAGGGCACTGCGACCGTACCACCTCACTCTCGTACAAAGGGCAATCGTGATTAACGTATTATTGTACAGCAAAGTGTGGTACGTGGCGGCCGTGTTCCCATTAACAGGGACAGCGATTATGAACATACTTTGGAGGGTGTTCCAGCTCTTGTGGGGATTGGGTTGCGACTGGTTACTGAGAGAGGTAGTGATGTTACTTGTGCTTCAGGGTGGGTTGGGGTTGTTAGATCTGAAAAGGCGAGTTAAATGTGTTTTTATTAAGAGGGAGGTGTTGTGTGAGGGATTGTGTGGGGGGACAGTTGGATAGGGTGTATGCTAGATTGAGACTTGTATGGTGGCGTGGAGTTGCGCGAGTGTGAGACCGTACTCCAGGGTTTGGTGTTAGCACGGAAACCGGAGGTCAGAATAGGTGCCTTGTGTAGGTTGCTTACAGGCAGTCTTTGCACCTGTGGAGGGGATTTTCCCAGTGTATGCATGGGGGTTATATAGTGCCGTTTTAGTAAGTTGAGGTTACGGCCCAGGGCGCGAGGTGATGTATTGGTTTCTGCATGGCATTCTGCCGACAGGAGCAGTATTTCGGAATCGACATGTCGTAGAGGGCAGGGTTTGTGGTATCTGTGGTGGGAAAGAGATGGCGTATCACAGAGCATATTTTTGTGAGGGTTTGGGGAACATCCGAAATTGGATGTGTAGAGTGGTTAGGAGGGTGGGAGGAAATGGGGTGTCAGTGCTGCAGGCACTCAGTCTACATGTGGGAGGGATGGAGGGCGTCACTAGGGCTTTGGCAGTACATCATGGTTGACTATGTATATATCTCGTGGGGTATGCGGGCATGGGGGTTTGCGAGGTGAGGCAGTGAGTTTTAGCGGCAACGTTCTACCGTATGTGGTGTTGCAGTACGGAAATTTACAGGAATAGGTGGCAGGTGGCTTTTTCGGAGGGTTACAGAGAACTAACATTATGGATTTTATTGGATTTGTGAACAGGGGAGGGAACAAGCGTGGGTGGGTTTAGTAGCAGCATAAGGGGTAGTGTAGTCAGGGGTTGAAACGGGGTCGCCTCCTGGGAGTGAGTGGGTGATGTGTGTGTGGAAGAGAACTTGTGTAGATGGCACAGTTTGGAGTGTAAGGACAGTGAACTGAATATTCCCTTAATAAAACTCAATTGTATATTGTGTACACAAGTGATATACCACTGTCATAAGATGCCAAATTTCTTTTTGTATTATTGCTTTCTAATCTTCATTAGGGAGTAGATGGATAGGGGCGAACAGCATTGGAAGGGGAGGGGGGAAGCCCACCCGTTAATGTGGGAGTAATAGTCGGGTCTGGTAGGTTACCTTAAGTTATGTATACTATTTCTGTGTCAATGTACATTGTGTTGGTGGCAAAGACTTGATTGTCACGTTAAGATAGATAATCATGGCTGATGTTAGTGTGCAAAGAGACCTAAAGACCACTCTGTGGAGGTTGTTACAAGGCTCTTGTATATATTATTATTATTATTATATCATGGGGGAGCGCTAAACCCGTAGGCTTATACAGTCTTGTATATAAAAGTGAGACTTTTGTCATGTGCTATTGTACCACCTTTTCATATTGTATTCTTTTATTTCTGTTAGGTAGGGAAGGAGTGCAGCAAAAGGGGGATGTGGGGAAGAATCCCACCCCTTTTGTGTTGGGGAGATTTAGGCATAGTGGGTGTTGTCACCCGCTATAACTTATTCATGTGTGCTATGTATATAATATTGTGTAATGTTCTTATTGTTATGGTCCCACCCGTCATTGAATAGTGATACAGGTTGTGCATGCGGTCCCAAGATTGCAGTTTACTCAATCATGGATGTGTATGACATTGTTATTTGTATATAAATATGTATATATCTCTGCTGGTTTGCAGCATGCTCAGATGTCAACGTGAGCTATAGCTCAAGGTACGGGTTGGGTAATGGGTGAGGTGGAGTGCGCCCACATGAGGGTGTGCATGTGGTGTTGTTTGGGTGACAGTAGGTCATTATATGTCAACGGCTAGTTCATGTGTTATTTTATTTATTTATATATTGTAATGCATTGTTGTAAATAAATATATATATAAAAAAAAGCTCTTGGATTAGGAGCCTTTCACCAGCATCAAGATGAGGAAAATCCATTGTTGCAAAACTAGAAAAAGATTAACAAGCCTAGTCACTCTCCAGACAAGCCTAGAGAAAGCTATTAAGACTTTTCAACAAGACTTAATAGCTTTCCACCACCTAATTCAACAAGGGTAATTACTTAAATTAATGCCCCCTTGCTGTGACAAGGGACTATTCGAGGAATTAACCTTCGTTCTTAAACTTCTGAAGTGGCCCCTTCCTCTTGAGAAAGAGGGACTGGCCTTCTCCAACCAATTTAAGGTTTTGGATGATTCTAGCTTAGTTTCCAGTGGATGCTTATGTATCTACTGGCAACTCTACTACCTCTGTGTACAGTCCAGAAAAAAAAAAATGAAAGTTAGCAGGTGCTCACCAGACCCTGCTGCTGCTGTTCTTACTCTTGCTGGTAAAAATGTGACCCTCATCAGTTGCAATGTGACAATGATGGGCAAATGCGGTTTCCTTTCCACAACCTGCATGGTCATGGTCTCACATGACCATGACGATGCAGGTGTATACATTATTTCATGTGGATTTTGTGACTAGAAAAAGGTGGGAGAGATCTCCCATAGCCTACAAATTAGATTAAAAGAATGCCAGCATGCCTGCAGGATATGTATAACAAGTGTGATACTGTACATAGGGATCAGACTGCATGCCTTATGTCTTGGAAGGATGAAGGATGCTAATCTGAGCACAATAGAATCAAGTTTTCAGTTTAGCTAATCTTACAAAAATAAGTCATTAGAAAGACCAGAAGGCTTCCTGTAGTGCTATCTATCAGTTCACCTTGCACTGACCTGGCTACTCACTTGACTATGTTTGTATAAATCTCCTAGTAGTACATATTTGTGTATTGACCAAAGAAGCCTGTCCACAGGCATATTGTCTCAGTTTCTCTCTGCAACTGTCTTTCACCATAAAAATTTGCAAGATTTACCTTAATCTTGCATGTTCATGAGACAGAGACAAGATATCTTGTCATATTGCAAAATGCTGAAATGGTATCCATTTTACACTCATATGGCAGAATGGTAGTACAGTGCCCTCTTGGGTGGTTGGTCTGAACCTCATTTCTACCAACATCCACAAAGGCATGTTGCCTGCCAATTAGCTTAAGCTCCAGGGACAGGCTAAACTTCCAGGTGTGCAGAAGAAAGTGAACAAGTTTCTGTGCACAGCTAACACAGTGCTTGGTTAGTTTCTATGATGCGATCATCTTTGTGAAAGAAGACCCAGGCAGTACTGCCCAAGGCATCAACGAAGACTAATCCCATCACATCAAAAAAGTATTTACTTCTAAACTTTATTATTTTACTTTGTCAAATGAATTCCTAAATGGGTCAATAAGCTTTTGGTCTTGAAACCAAAGAATACGATACAAATATTTTTGGCTACAACGAAAATTCTTGCATAGTTCAATGAACACAATGGAGGAGTAAAACTAAATTTAATTTTACTCATTTTCTTATTAGATTTTTGCCCTGTCATTCACTAATATATACATATACAATACAGCTGTGTCTTCAGATGTATGAAATGAATGTGATGCAATGAAAAGAAAAATCTGCACCTCCCTGTATCAATTCTCTTGATACTATTAATTATAGAAACAAGACACTGAATGAAACCAATTTCACAATGAATTAATATATTTTTAAATATTTAATCCTGAAAGTTCTCAAATATATTATCAAAATGGATAATGAATATATATATAAAATGCATGATTCTCTATTCAGGTTATAAAATAGAAATGCTGTACTAAAAATCCCACGAAGTAACTTTATATTACCTTGGTTTCTTCCATAATTCAGATAAAAGAACATGTTCATAGTTTTCATCTACGCAACTGTTTGTCCTTGTAGTTCACTAACTCACTGCAGTTTTTTTTTTTTCTGACTAGAAACTTTTCTATCACTTGGTACTAATTTAGTATATTATAAATGTTTAAGACTACTACTTGCACTATTTATTATACTTAGGTTTAGATGCAAATATGATTCTTGAAAAATATCTAAAGTAAAAAAAATTAATGTGTGGCAAACAACTGAAGGCATGCGTAATTTCCCAAAGATTTACACATTACTTGTACAGTATTATATGGGAAAGCTTTTTCAAGTTTCCTAGCAAAACTGTACCTTGACAGCTTCCTACTAAGACTTACATAACACACAGACATTATTCATGAAAAAAATACATGTTATAATTACTGGTAATTAAATCTATTAAGCCAATATTTTAACATGCTTCCCACTCTGTAGTAGCTATGGTATGAGAATATATTACCATCAAACATTACTAAGAGTAGCAAAAATATAGTTCCTGATCGAAACTGTATAAAATCCTGCATCAGCAAAGATGACCACACAAGCAAAAAATCTGCTTTTACATAAAAGAGAAGGTAAGCAAATACATAACTCTTAAAAATCTTTATCATGGTAAAGCATTCTTAACCTAAAATTTTACTATTCAATAATGCCACACAGTAAGACTTTCATATTATCCTTATCCCAAGCTCTGCAGTAACATCTATACAGTCTCAATCAGTGCCAGATTCATCCCCCCACTTATCCATTCTAGACTATATTAAAAACTCAAGTGATTAATATAACTTTTAACAAAAATTAACGTAAGAAACCAAAAAATTAATATAATCAAACATCAATTCTATTAAACCATTTACTTAACTTCTTCCAGGAAATTCACCTTTCAAAAACAAAAACAAAGCATTATTGTATATGAACTTCATTACTGATGAAATGGACTATAACAAAGTTAAATGCTAGAAAAAAATAATTTGCTTATCTCTTTATGAGGTATTCATCGAAGCTATTGGCACCTGCTAGATAATGCCTCCATTATTGAACATTAAAATCTCACAGCAACAATAATGTACAGTATCTTCCATTAATAAAAAAAGAAATGCAATTTCACTTAGGTGGCAAATTAAATGTTTGATTTAAAAAAAAAATACCTAGCTGACAGTTAAGGAAGACACAGTCAATCTTCAAAAATATATCTTACACTGTAATATTTAGTACAATCTTAGTATTATAGGATACCATTGAACTTCGGCCCAAAACCCATTCTTTACATACTGTACAAAAACCACTACAATTTTGGACCCAAATTTATAAAACCATCACACCTTCATATTCAAATATTAGTTAACATATTTCAAATTTATAAGTCTAATCCACATTTTAATTTAATGATAAACACTATGCAGAATTAACAGGTTTATTTCTGAGCATCATAACTCCACCTCAGGAATGATTATGACTATGAGCCTCAACTCTTGAAGCAGGTTCAGTAAACACAAACATACGAGTCCACCTAATCCTGTCTTATTCAATGGCAAATGTGATTGACTGCTACAGGTAGTAGTAGTTGTGGCTATGGAGAATCAGAAGAAGGGCCAGGTTCTAAACGGGGTCGCTTGTTGCGGGGAGCTTCTTCTTCATTGCTGCCAGAACCTGTCTCACGTTTCTTTTTTGGACACTGAAACAAAAAAAGAAAATACAATGCTTAAATTTTATATTTAGATAAACCAGAGGTAAATTCAAAAGCACAAGATGACAACTGTCACTGAATATAATTATAGTACATATTTATATTCGAGGTGAAGTCAAGATGGTCTTTTTTCACTCAAGAAAGCAATATGTACTTACTGCAAAGGACATATATTTACTGGGGACAAGGATACAATATATGCATAAAAAAAAGCAGAGAGTACCTAGGGATTGGCAGATAGCATGCATAGTTTCTTTGTATAAGGGAAAAGGGACAAAAGTGTAAGAATTATAAGGAAATAAGCATGCTCAATATATCAAATAAAGTTCATGGTAAAATTAATATGGTAGGGATGTGTAGACCAAGTGTCTGCAATGAAGCATACGTATAAGCAAACAATGCTTAGATAAAGGTAAGGAACATTTTGTTGCATTTATGGATAAGATGGAGAGGAGCAACGTGGAAATGTGCATACATGGAATACGAGGTGAACCACAGAACAGACTAGTGTAAAAAGATGGGTGGTGCGTCAAAGTATCTATCTAAATAAAGAACTTTATCTATGAAGAGGAAAAAAAAAAGAGGGTGCGGGGGGGGGGGGGGAAAGAATGTACCAGAGTATTTTGCTGCAACATTTAAAGTCCAAGTTTGGACTTTAAATGTTGCAGCAAAATGGTAGCTAGAAATAGCAGATATGTCATTTTGAGGCCAGTGTGGATTTTTCACAAGGAATAAACTGTTGCTCTACTGAGATATAACCACAATATACTTTCACCTATTTCCCTTGATATATTGTGCCTCACAATGCCTTTAATGAATAATGTTTCATCCTTTTTTTTTTCTTTAACCCATGAACTGTGGCATATCCAGACATTTTTTTTGTTTGTGTAATAAGATTTTGAAAAAAAATAAATAAATAAAGGAAGTATTTTTTCCTTACCGATCTCGGCAAGAGTGGTGTAAATGTACCAGCAATATTTGCTGTAAGGTTTATAATATACTGATGCCAAATTATGATTATTTTTTCAGATTTTTTTATTGTTTTTAAAATGTTATATACTATGTACACTAGTTTCTTATGATATTAGATGTATTTCAAGGTATTTTAGGGCTTCAAACAAGGGAAAATGCATAGCCTGACACTGCAACAATTGTTTTTTATTGCATTTTTTACTGCTTTGGTCTTCTGACACTATGTACAAGGAATACTTATGGTATTACAGTAGTTTCCAGGTGTCATAATATGTACTTAAAACATTAAAGTCAGTCACATTTTTTTTGACTACTGGGGTAACCTAAGTTAATAATTATGTTGTTACAGTATATTTTAATTTGGTGGAATAACCTGGGTTATTCTAACAATGTAATTTGTGTCCAAGACAACTGTGTGCTTTAAGACCACTGCAAAACATATATTTACAAGGAATCCTAAATGTATTACAATCGTTTTATGATGTAATACTCATTCAAATATGGAAACAAGTCACACTGACTATAGTGGGTTATCCTAAGTTATATCTGCATAGTGTGCTTTTTGGCCAAATTCCAATGTTAGTATCATAAAGTTGTAATGAATTTGGAAAGAATATGGCATCTTCTTGTCAGTTCCATATCCTGTTTACTGCCAGGGAAGCTGGAGCAACAGATCCTGGGTCCAGTATTTACTCACGCTAGTGAGGCATTACATAGACCTGTCGGGTCTTAGATCTTTTTTCAAAGGCAAAAAGACGTAGGAGACCCAAATGGTTGTGCTGAAGTTAAAAATACTTAAGCCAAGAAAAACTGTACAGACTAGCACATAAAAACACAGTCATCACTTGCTTGCTAGTACACTGGACATGGTTAAAAAGGTTAACTGTGTCTTTGCCTGTTTTTTCTATCTTTTTACCTTTATTCCTTATTATTTCCACCCTTATGCATATGGTAATATTTATAATTCTGAGTTCTCCTAATTTCCAAATTTAAATTAAAAAAATCCCTCTAATCTGAATTTTTTGTTCTCTGAAGTAACAAAGAGCAAGTAATATGTATGTTTACAAACATTTCTTCAGTGTAAAATCAATAAGAGGTGAAAGTTAGACAATGATGGAAATAAAGCCAACTCCAAAAATAGTTTAACATAAACACAGTATGTCAAGAGCTAATTTATGTTAATTAAAAAAACATTACGAGATACAGCAGGGCCAGAGTTCATCCCTACAAACTAATAAAGGTAATCATAAACAAACTTTCTTTTGTTAAGTAAAAGGATGCAAGTGCAACTAATGTGACATTCTATGTCACACTAGTTGCACTTGTGTCCTTTTACTTAATATATTGTAGGTAATTCACCCTGCCTTGGTGGGAGACGGCCGACTTGTTGAGGGGAAAAAAAAAAAAAAAATTCTACCAATGTTAATACATACCTTCTTTTCCCACTGCTGATGTAAATAACGCAGGAGGATATTTGTCTTCTCAGTTACAACTGCAACAAATAGGTTAAGAGTCAAAATTAACCAATCATGATTTGTTGTAGTAATAAATCAAATACTGTAGAAAATACATTTTAAAACAAACTTCTAAGGCATATCACAGCTAGGACGAACAGTAAAAAAAAAAGCCTTTCCACATTATATAATAAATAGGGGACCCAAAAAAGGAAATGTAAACTAAACCTTTCTACACTAACAGCACGTCAATATTAAAAACCATTAAATTCATCCATTTTAAATCACACATAATCGCTCACACATGCATGCATCTCCAACCCTAATTTTTTCGTGCATCTGGCCTTTTGATTTTGGAGATTTTTTTACTTGAGTGTGTAAAAAGTTTCATGTAATTTATCCGCCCACAACGCCTACCACTCAAGACCCCCACGCAATTCACCCCCCGTAGACTTATCCCTCCCAGGAATAAAGTCCGATTGAAAGGGTGTTATGTTGAGTTTAAAATGTAGTTTGCCCTTGCTGCAAGACAGTATATAAGTGGAAAGTCCTTTCTATTTATGAGGCATGCCTTAACGAGCCGTGTGTAATAACTCTAAAAAAAAACAAGCTTTACTAGTATACCTAACCTTCAATTGACTGTCTTTTTTCACCACAATTTAGCATCTGCATACATTTTCACTATCAAGCTCAGAATAAATATCCTCCTTTGCTTTGATATCCAATAATCCTGGAAAAAACTTTCCCTTTATCTCATTCAATTACTGCTTAACACTCACATCAAAGATGCCCTCAAACTGCAACAACCTGTCCCTCCTTTAAATAATAACCCATCTCCATGAATCAAGTCTCAGATAACCAGTTTTCCCTGAATCCTTCATAAAAGTTATTTTGCCATGCCCAAAAGCACTCAAATAAAAAAAAACCTCGCTCTACCCTATATACATGCTTTCAGAACCGTTGGCTGTCAAAACCCTAGAACTCAAATCCTCCTTTCTGCCTCCCCCCAACCCTTCTTGGATACCCCCCCCCCTTCCTTTCCTCCACCCCAGATTTATATGCCCTCTTAGTCATCCTATTTTTCTCCAGCTTCTCTTAATGTCCAAACTACCTAAATAACCCTCCTTCTGCCCTCTGAATAATTCTTCTGGTAAACCCACACCTCCTTCTAATCTCCAGGCTTCAAATTCTCTGCATAATACTCACATCACAAATTGCCCTCAAACATGACAACACTACCTCCAGTCTCCTCACTGTAATATTTAAAACCCATTTTCTTTTTTGCACCCATGTAACAGTATTGTACTACAGTACTATACTCTAGTATTACTCTCTCTGCCTCCATAGATAAGGTTCATCTCCACAGATCCCTAAACTAAATGCCGCACCCTCTTTTTTCTTCTAACGTGAATTCTATGGTTCACCTCATCATTCAAGGATCCATCTGCCAACAAGTCCACTCCCGAATATCTGAACATGTTTACTTCCTCCATACTCCATCCCTCTGATCTGATATCCAATCTTTAACTGCACAGAATTTTTGTTACTCTTATTACCTTGCCCTTTTTTACATTCACTTTTTAAGTTCGGTCTTTTACATACTCTCCCAAATTCATCTACCAGCCTTTGCAACTTCCCTTCAGTTTTTCTCAAAAAAAAAAAAAAAAAATGGTAATCAACAAAAAAGCAACTGTGACAACTTCCACTTTGTATTAGATTCATAAACTTTTAGTCCCACACTTCTCTAACACCCTAGCATTCACTTATTTTACAACCCTATCTATAAATATGTTAACCATGGTGGCACCATACATCCCTGTCTTCAGGCCACCTTTTAATCTTTCTTCCTCCTACATACACTAACCTGGGCTTTGCTAAATCTGGTTACCATACTCATAAATAATGGTAAGAAAGAAAAGAAATCTGGTCATGGGAAAATCATTGAAAACATTTTAAAATTAATTTTTTATGAGAGAGCCACAGTATTTGGTTAACACAAGCCTATCCGATGTTATCCTGACGCCAAATAACTTCGAACAGGCGATAAATGACATGCCCACGCACTCTGCCCCAGGGCCAGACTCATGGAACTCCGTGTTCATCAAGAACTGCAAGAAGCCCCTATCACGAGCTCTTACCATCTTACGGAGAGGGAGCATGGACACGGGGGTCGTCCAACAGTTACTAAAAACAATAGACATAGCCCCACTCCACAAAGGGGGCAGTAAAGCAACAGCAAAGAACTACAGACCGATAGCACTAACATCCCATATCATAAAAATCTTTGAAAGGGTCCTAAGAAGCAAGATCACCACCCATCTAGAAACCCATCAATTACACAACCCAGGGCAACATGGGTTTAGAACAGGTCGCTCCTGTCTGTCTCAACTATTGGATCACTACGACAAGGTCCTAGATGCACTAGAAGACAAAAAGAATGCAGATGTAATATATACAGACTTTGCAAAAGCCTTCGACAAGTGTGACCATGGCGTAATAGCGCACAAAATGCGTGCTAAAGGAATAATAGGAAAAGTTGGTCGATGGATCTATAATTTCCTCACTAACAGAACACAGAGAGTAGTAGTCAACAGAGTAAAGTCCGAGGCAGCTACGGAGAAAAGCTCTGTTCTACAAGGCACCGTACTCACTCCCATCTTGTTCCTCATCCTCATATCTGACATAGACAAGGATGTCAGCCACAGCACCGTGTCTTCCTTTGCAGATGACACCCGAATCTGCATGACAGTGTCTTCCATTGCAGACACTGCAAGGCTCCAGGCGGACATCAACCAAATCTTTCAGTGGGCTGCAGAAAACAATATGAAGTTCAACGATGAGAAATTTCAATTACTCAGATATGGTAAACACGAGGAAATTAAATCTTCATCAGAGTACAAAACAAATTCTGGCCACAAAATAGAGCGAAACACCAACGTCAAAGACCTGGGAGTGATCATGTCGGAGGATCTCACCTTCAAGGACCATAACATTGTATCAATCGCATCTGCTAGAAAAATGACAGGATGGATAATGAGAACCTTCAAAACTAGGGATGCCAAGCCCATGATGACACTCTTCAGGTCACTTGTTCTATCTAGGCTGGAATATTGCTGCACACTAACAGCACCTTTCAAGGCAGGTGAAATTGCTGACCTAGAAAATGTACAGAGAACCTTCACGGCGCGCATAACGGAGATAAAACACCTCAATTACTTGAGGTTCCTGAACCTGTATTCCCTGGAGCGCAGGCAGGAGAGATACATGATTATATACACCTGGAAAATCCTAGAGGGACTAGTACCGAACTTGCATACGAAAATCACTCACAACAAAAGCAAAAGACTTGGCAGACAATGCAACATCCCCCCAATGAAAAGCAAGGGTGTCACTAGCACGTTAAGAGACCATACAATAAGTGTCAGGGGCCTGAGACTGTTCAACTGCCTCCCAGCATACATAAGGGGGATTACCAACAGACCCCTGGCAGTCTTCAAGCTGGCACTGGACAAGCACCTAAAGTCGGTACCTGACCAGCCGGGCTGTGGCTCGTACGTTGGTTTGCGTGCAGCCAGCAGTAACAGCCTGGTTGATCAGGCTCTGATCCACCAGGAGGCCGGGTCACAGACCGGGCCATGGGGGCGTTGACCCCTGGAACTCTCTCCAGGTAAACTCCAGGTAACTCAAGGTCAATTTTCAATTTAGGGGCTGTGAGCCAAGACAAAATAGTGAATCTACTATCAGGATGCTCGTGTGAAAACACTGAATAATTAAATCTCGAAAATCGAGAAGCTTGTAAATTTGAGGGGTTTACCAGTCATGAGACTTAATGATAGCAAAACTAAATTAACAAAAAATAAGTACTGTATAAAAAAGACTTACTTTCCTGAGAGCTTGGATTATCTTTGGTTGGAAGATAAACAGGGGGTTTCTTATAGGAGGTTCGACCACTTGGGTCTCCTTGGAACCTACTAAAATTTTGCTCATTGTAAACTGGGAGTCCTTTTAAAAATGAAGAAGCCTGCAAAAGACCATAGATCATGTTGTACTTTTAGTGGTAAATACTTCTAATTTAATATTATTATTATTCACAATAAAAGATGCCTTGATTTTTCTACACCGCTTACAAGAAATTATTATAACTAATTTAACATACTGTCACATTATGTAACTAAGTAATGTATCGCACAATCTTAAAAAAAAAAAAAATTCTCAGAAATAGGGTATTATAATTAATTTTAACCTTCCCAGGAATTCACACCATGAGAGACCTGCACCTTGCCAGGGACCCACACCTCACCAGGAACCCACACCTTGCTAGAGAACCATACCTTGCAAGAACACACCCTGCCAGGGATCCATACCATGCTAGAGAACCATACTTCGACAGGGATGCACACCTCACCAGGGACCCACTCCTTCCCAGGGGAACCCACACCTTGCCTGGAGCCCATACCTTGTCATGGACTCACACCTCACCAGGAGCCCATACCTCACCAGGTACCCAAACCTCGCCAGGTACCCACACCTCGTCAAGGACCCACACCTCGCCAGGTACCCACACCTCGCCAGGGACCCACACCTCGCCAGGGACCCACACCTCGCCAGGGACCCACACCTCGCCAGGGACCCACACCTCGCCAGGGACCCACACCTCACCAGGGACCCACACCTCACCAGGGACCCACATCTCGTCAAGGACCCACACCTCGCCAGGTACCCACACCTCGCCAGGGACCCACACCTCACCAGAAACCCACACCTCACCAGGGACCCACACCTCACCAGGGACCCACACCACCAGTGACCACACCTACGGGGACCCACACCTCGCCAGGGACCCACACCTCACCAAGGATCCACACCTCGCCAGAGACCCACACCTCGCCAGGTACCCACACCTCGCCAGGGACCCACATCTCACCAGGGACCCACACCTCGCCAGGGACCCACACCTCACCAGGGACCCACACCTCACCAGGGACCCACACCTCACCAAGGATCCACACCTCGCCAGGGACCCACACCTCGCCAGGGACCCACACCTCGCCAGGGACTCGCACCTCACCAGGGACCCACACCTCGCCAGGGACCCACACCTCACCAGGGACCCACACCTCACCAGGGACCCACACCTCGCCAGGGACCCACACCTCACCAGGGACCCACACCTCGCCAGGGACCCACACCTCGCCAGGGACTCACACCTCGCCAGGGACTCACACCTCGCCAGGGACTCACACCTCGCCAGGGACCCACACCTAGGGAGTGGTCTCACCATTCCTTCCAACTTCTAACACGCTGACATACCGACTACAGTATCACGATGTCAAATGCACAGAGAGATGCATCATACACATGTGTAATGTACCGTTGATAGCCTACTTGCTCATTACGAAGGAGAAATAAATAATATTGTGCAGGAACAGAGAGAATTACCATGTTGTTGCTGCTCTGGTGTCGCGGTGTTCGTATCCGCCAACACTTCCAACTTATAACTTTTGAAAGAGTTTATTATCCATGACATTTAATAGTAACTTTATTTCTTTTCATTAACTCATGCGTGAGTAATTTTATAATTTTCAAAACAGAAGAAAAATGTATTACTCGACGATTTACTCCAATGACGTTATAGTGTGGGATACGAAGGATTGTGAAAAACAGAAAGGTGAATATTGACCCTTCATGACATGAATTGCTGTATATTCTAGCTAATACGACACTAGTTCGTCGAAATACTTTTTAAAGTATCCATCTGTGTCTTAATTTCACCCACATGTATAAGGAATTTATTCACATTTTTTACAGAAATGCAATTATAGTTGCCAAAGTTAGGATAATGCAGTTATGTAGACCTACAAACTCTTATGCAAAGATAGAATAGGCCTATGTGCACATAAAATCCCTAAGGTTTTGCAGAGAAGAGTGGTTGAGGAAATTTTGTTCAGTTGTAAAGCGTTAATAATCACAAATAAAAGGGTAGTGTTCGATTCCTGGGAGGGTCACCAAATACTGAAAGGTCCCCTTACACATGTCCTTAATCGCCCAGCAGTAGATAGATTTTTGGGTGTTAATCGGCTGTTGTGAATCGCATCCAAAGGAAGGACCCAGGTCAAACCCTGGACAAGGTGTGAGGTATGTGCAAATCTCTTCTATCTAGGCTGGAATATTGCTGCACACTAACAGCACCTTTCAAGGCAGGTGAAATTGCTGACCTAGAAAATGTACATTATTATTATTATAATTAAAAAGAAGCGCTAAGCCACAAGGACTATACAGCTAGAAAATGTAGAGAACCTTCACGGCGCGCATAACGGAGATAAAACACCTCAATTACTGGGAGCGCTTGAAGTTCCTGAACCTGTATTCCCTGGAACGCAGGCGGGAGAGATACATGATTATATACACCTGGAAAATCCTAGAGGGACTAGTACCAAACTTGCACACGAAAATCACTCACAACGAAAGCAAAACACTCGGCAGACGATGCAACATCCCCCCAATGAAAAGCAGGGGTGTCACTAGCACGATAAGAGACAACACAATAAGTGTCAGGGGCCCAAGACTGTTCAACTGCCTCCCAGCATACATAAGGGGGATTACCAATAGACCCCTGGCTGTCTTCAAGCAGGCACTGGACAAGCACCTAAAGTCGGTACCTGACCAGCCGGGCTGTTGTTCATACGTTGGATTGCGTGCAGCCAGCAGTAACAGCCTGGTTGATCAGGCCCTGATCCACCATGAGGCCTGGTCACAGACCGGGCCGCGGGGGCTTTGACCCCCGGAACTCTCTCCAGGTAAACTCCTAACACCTGCTGCCTCTGTTCATCTCGCAGTAAACAGGTACGTAGAAATTATTCTACTGTTGTAACCTCAGTGGAAATAAGCGACATTGCTTAGGTTTCTTTGGGTTTTAAACCTCCGTGATTACTATTTCATATTAAATGTTTTTCATCCAATACACAAGAGCACAGTTTCCACTAGCAAACATCGATGAATTAAAGGAGGATGACCAGAATGGCAATTAGAATTTTACTATAATCAACAATCACAGTACTGGAAAAAAAAAGGTTGAAAAAAAAGGAAATCCCCGTGCGGGAGATAGAAGATTTGATGATCGTAAACCTTGAAGCCTTGCAGAGGAGTCAACAAGTTCATACTCTGAATACTAGAATGTTCAGTGACTCAGTAAATGGCTATTTATGTGTCTGCTGAAGTGACACAGTCAGCATCATTAGATCAAATGTATAACACCAACAAGTTGATGAATGAGATATATGTACAACACCTGGGTATCTTTGAGAGATACATTTCGCCTGCGCAGTAAATTTGATCAATCTGTATTATACAAATAAAGCCTGCTATGCAGGCGAAATGCTTCTCAATAGAGGTGCTGCACATGTATCTTATTCATCGACACAGCTTTGAATGCGAAGCGTGATTGGATATTAAGAGTCAAACAGGTTTTAAATAATTTTTTTGTATCTTCTGGAGATTAGCTTAACATACGGCACGCATAAATAAGATAAAACACCTCATTTACTGGGAGCGCTTAAGTTCCTGAACCTGTACTCCCTGGAACGCAGGCGGGAGAGATACATGATTATATACACCTGGAAAATCCTAGAGGGATTAGTTCCAAACTTGCACACGAAAATCACTCATAACGAAAGCAAAACACTCGGCAGACGATGCAACATCCCCCCAATGAAAAGCAGGGGTGTCACTAGCACGTTAAGAGACAACACAATAAGTGTCAGGGGCCCAAGATTGTTCAACTGCCTCCCAGCATACATAAGGGGGATTACCAATAGACCCCTGGCTGTCTTCAAGCTGGCACTGGACAAGCATCTAAAGTCGGCACCTGACCAGCCGGGCTGTTGTTCGTACGTTGGATTGCGTGCAGCCAGCAGTAACAGCCTGGTTGATCAGGCTCTGATCCACCATGAGGCCTGGTCACAGACCGGGCCGCGGGGGCATTGGCCCCCGGAACTCTCTCTAGGCACACCCCATACTCATCCTGTGGGCGGTAGTCAAAGGATTACAGAGGTACATAATGGATCCAAGGACTGGGCCGCAGTTTTGATAGACAAGTTACAGTGGTAATGAACTATTTACGTGTTATATCCGGTCACAATGGTAATGGGTTATTTATGCAGACATAAATTTGATGGAATGTGTCAATAATGTTTTAGCCGATATAACCCCAGGAGGCAGCTCAGATGAAAATTCACATACACATGTGATTTTTTTTTTTATTCGCCGGTATTCTCCCGGCCCGGGTCTTTTCCAAGTAGTGGTGACCCGGCCTTGGCTCCCTATCTGGGGAGTGTCTCGAGACTTAAGTCTCCCATGAGAGGAGGTATAAGTACCTCCTCACATTTGGGACCAAGTGTCCCCAGGCCTAGCCACATTCCCCGCCCTCACGGGGCTCGTAGGGAGAAGCTAGGCCTCTGGTCTGCCATCTGCCCCGCCCCAAAGGGGCTCGTGGGGTGGCAGTCTTATGAGCTGCAGATGGTAGCAAGCTCAGGCCGTTACACATGTAATAAATGGTTTTGAAAACGGACAAGTTGAAGAATTGAGACACTTATGCAACATATGAGAATTTTTATTGAAGAAACGTTTCGCCACACAGTGGACTGAACACATCGATTCCAGGCTGAGGGACTGATTACCTCTGTGGAAAATTGCATTTATCTGAATGTAACTAATTATGTACATAACAGTAAATGATAACAAAGATAATTATTATTTATCAATGTTACATAGACAAGTAGGAATTTGGGACACCTAGGTCGCAAAAAATGTCCCCCTTCGATACCTACCACTGTCATAGCCACAAGTTGCTCTGGACCTATTAATTAAATGAAATATACATACACCAGGAATACTGGTAAATATATAAATTTGTGAACTGTATATTAAAAATAATAAATGGTTATATATACACACAATTACATAACAGAAGGAAAATATATCTTAATATCACTCACCAATTTGACTGGAGATTAATGTGCATCATACTCAGAAAACCTCACTCTAAACTAAATCTATGAAAATAATGCTGGCCAGAATTACACACAAATCTAGAGAGCTTATCTGAGGTTCCTGGAGCTGTCTTGTCCAGTCGTCTGATATCTCAAGTTATGCAGGAATGCACATCCACCAATTTCGCCTCCTATTTGAGAGGTGTCAACACAATTTTAACCTCTAGAGCACGAAAAATTCTTCCCATTACACCAACGTTTGTACAAAATTTAAAACCAAGATGGTGAGTCTCGTCTGCGCAGACGCAGGCTTTCCGTTTTCTATGACAAATATTATTAAATACAGTATGGCCATCTATTTACATATAAATACTGAATTTCTGGAAAATATATACAGTATTTTCCACAACCTCAATCTCCTCTCCTTACTTATTTCTACTTTGTATTGGACTGATGAAGTCAATGTGTGGCGAAACGTTTCTTCAATAAAGACTCCCATATGTTGCATGTCTCAATTCTTCAACATACACATGAACAATTAAATAAGCAACAAATTCACCTTAAGCCAGCAGATAGGGGAGCCAACAAGACTGGAAAATACACTTGACCCTATCTTCACTAATAATGATGATCTGGTACGAAACATAAGAGCATCAGTGCGTTATCGAGGACTGTCTTATTTCCAATAGGGTCCTTCAGTCTTGTTTGTTGTGGGTACAACAATCGATTAACACCCAGTTACCTACTTACTGCTAGGTGAACAGGGACAGCAGGTGTAAAGAAACTTATCCAACATTTATACCCTTGCCGGGGATTGAACGATGGACACTCAGTGTGAAGCGAGAGCTTTGCCTACCAGGCCACGGGACACTTTTTCTTGACAGAAGGAGCAACAGTCAGAAACGTAGCGAATGTACATGCCATTGTTCTTCTCTACCTCCTTACGGACAAGTGTTGAGTTATTTCCATCACCACCTTCAGATGTAATTCGCTTTCATTACTCTGATCACTAGTTCTACCGACAGAGCGCTAATAGATCTCCCGCAATGCTCTCTTTTATGTACTACTACTCAGAGCCGGCTTCAGGAAGTGTGGGGCCCAATTGGGAACAATTTTGGTGGGCCCCATGTATGGAAATTATTATTATTATAATCATGGGGAGCGCTAAACCCGTAGGATTATACAGCGCATGTGGGGGGATGGAAGGTATTCAGGTTCAATTCAGGGAACCGGAGCACAGATCCAATTCCCTAGATCAAGAGCCCCTCACCAACGTCAAGGAACCTCCCTTGAGGGGCCATGTATGGAAAGCAATCAAACTGCGCTTAAAAAAAATGCATGCAAGTTAATAGACCAAACAGATGTAAGCTACATTTTAATATAATATTGCACACATGTAAGCCCACAAGTAAAAAAAAATTGTCGAAGTTTAAACTCCTGCTAATTTCAGATTTAATGGACATAATCGCCATACTGTTCAAACATTCTTGCTGAATTGATGATCTCAAGTAAGTTTTGATCAGTTTCAGCTTGGAAAAAACTCCTTTCTTCAGATGTTCCTTTTTTTACTTCATTTTGTGTGTACATGACAAGCCGAGAGTAAATTACATTCTAGTGCGGGGCCCCCTTAGGCGAGGGGCCCCATTGGGAGCAATCGGTCCGATCGGTTTGGCCCTGCTACTACTACTACTGCTACTTTTATTATTATGGGGAGCGCTAAACCAGTAGGGATTATACAGGCTTGATTCAGGGAATTAGAGCACAGATCTAATTCCTTAGATCAAGAGCCCCACAACATCAAGAAACCTCCCTTGAGGAGACTAATTCTACTATAACTACTACTACTACTCCTACCACACCCTTCTTTCCCCCGCCCCTTCCAGTAGTGTCGTTTATCCTCTACTTTTCCTTGCTTCAGTTGTGACTTGGCAGTGGTGCAGGACGGACTGAAATATCTTGAAGTTTTGAGGTGGTCAGTCCCTGAGCCTGGAGAGGTGTTCAGCTCATCTAGTTTTACGTTCCAGCCACGGTATTGTGGATTTTTATTCTTTACGAGACCTTTGAGCCATCATCATACACAGCAGCAGCGTGTGAGAGGAACTGTTTAAAGTAAACTCTTAGTACCTATACTGTTCCATGGCCTGGTAGGCAACGCTCTCGCCTTACACACCGAGTGTCAATTCCCTGCTGGGTGGACACATTAATATATCTTTATTTCTACAAGTACAAGGTATATAGGCATAGCTGACATCCTACTATATAGAAAGCCGCTTGTTATGCAGATTAGGTCAGTTTTGTCCCAGGATGCGGCCCACACCAGTCGACTAACACCCAGGTACCCATTTTACACTGATGGGTGAACAAGGACAGCAGGTGTCTTATGGAAACACGTCCTAATGTTTTCCAACCGTACCAGTGATTCGAACTCCTGACCTCAGCGTGTGAGCTGAGTGCGCTAGCGATAAAGCTACATGTGCTGTCCTTGTTCACCTAGTAAGCAAGTTGGTACTTGGGTGTTCGTCGACTCGTGTGGGTCGCGTCCTGGGGAGAAGCCCCTGAAAAGGACCCTCATGACCTGTGGATACTTGGGTTATCAGGTGGCTACCTCCGGTTAAAATCCGAACAAATCTTCTCTTAACTTGGCGTGATTGAAGGTTTTTTGTTCACTGACCCTCTGCAATGGATAATACAAGTTATAAATAACACGTACACTCGTGCATCTTTAATAAAATGCCTGACGATTACGCTGCACAAAGGCTTCTGCCGAACATTTTTGACTGGATGGTCTGAATTATTCAGCTATACAATGCAGTTATGTAGATATCATACATAGCACGATAAGTGTGGAACCTTGTAACCCAAAAAGTCAGACTGACTTATTTCCATTGGGTCACCCCTCAAGTCTGCCCACTCCCTCGAAGGTTACTGACTGGACTGCATCAAAATATATTTTTCTACAGTGCTGTATTCACCAATATTCGACTGTAGAATTAGTAATAAATGTCAGAACTAACAGTTGATAATTAGAGACACTTGGGTACCGAACTAGCTCAATGCTGAGGACTGATTTCCCAACTCATGGTTTCACATCCCTCTAACTGCTGAGAACCCACTACCTGGGAAGAGGTGCACATAAAAACACCAAATGTTGTACATGCTTATCATGATGAAGAATCCTTTTGTCGGTGCGAAAGTTTTAGTAATAAAGCACTATATTTTGCATGTTTTATTCATCTAAGATAAGATAAGATAAGAATTTACAGTTCGGATTTTTAACCGAGTTAAGCCACTCCGGGATACCAAGAAGTCAATGCGTCATCGAGGACTGTCTAACTTATTTCATTGGGGTCCTAATCATGCCTCACGGATGTGGAACCCACACAGTCGACTAACACCAGTGTACCATTGCTGCTAGGTAAACACACAACATGTTGTAAGAACGTGTCGAAATTTTCCACCCGCCGGAATCGAACCGGGCGGGCCCTCGTGTGTGAAGCGGGAGCTTTAGCCACCAGGCCACCGGGCCACCGGTGATTCAGCATAAATCTGAGGAAGTGGAGCTACTTTTCCTAGCTTGGATGAGCCGTGATTACCTTTTATTTCCCAGGCTGTGACCCCCTACAGGTTTAGTACATATTCTTATATGTAACTATAATAATCATTGTAGTACCCACAGTCAGTGGCCAGGCTTCAAACACCTTTTATTGTACAGCAATAAAGGAATGGAACAGACTGCCCGCACATGTCAAAGCCAGTCATAGCATGAACCAGTTCAAGAAGAGTGCCAAAAGGTGTCTGATGAATGTAGCTACAGAAAGGGAGGGGAATGATTTTCTATTTTTTAGCTAACATACGTGTAAATTTTTTACCTTATTCCTAGTAATGACCCTTGTATTGTAGATAGTCTTAATGACCTTGGTGTAGTAGATAGTCTTTTTAGTATGATAATAAGATGTTATCTTCATTGTAGAATAATAAGAAAATATTATAACCTTTATATTATAATAATAAGGTAAAAGGACCCCAATGGAAATAAGTCACTCTGTCTGACTTTTTTGGGTTATCCTAGGTTCTCTACACATATGCTGCTATGTATGATAATTCTATGTAACTGTATTTGTGTATACCTGAATAAACTTACTTACTTACTGAACTCATCGGTACTCTTAATAAAAATAAGTATATACGACCCATGGACCGTCTTAACTCTTCAAGCCAGCAATTAGGTAAACATTGGATATTTTAATGTTTTATAATAGTGCTTACTTACGTGTGATAAAGACCAAATTTGCATGCACCTTGACCAAAAAAAAGGGGTTAGATACAAGGACATGTGGAACTAATGCGACATTTTAATGTGGCAGAGTTTCACTCCAGGAGCTTTGTCAAGCTCCTGGAGAGCGAAACGTTGCCACAGTATGTCACATTAGTTGCGCATGTGTCCTTTTACCTAACATATTGTCGGTAATTCTACCTACATTATTAAAAAAAAAAAAAAGTATAATTGAAGGCTGCTCCTCAGTGGAAATCAGACATTACTTTTTATTTTACGATGCGTTCAAGCTCAACAGTTATTTCTTGGGCATGTTGTTATATTGGGAGACAATAGAGAAAATATTATATTTTTTTTTTTGGCACATCAGAGCCATTCAAGACTTAGTATTGCATCCTGGCCAATCACGGTGAACGTTAACAAAGACGCAGCAGACGTAATAACAGGTGGCGGAGTAAGGCTAAGTTGTTTTAGGTTGATTAGGTGGGTTTCGTTAATTTTTTTTCTTACACAAATCAGTTTTACAGGTTAAGAGCTGTTATTCCACCTCAGCTCATTTGAAAACCCTATCTAAGGTACACTAACCCCCCCAGGATGCAACCCACACCAGTCCACTAGCACCCAGGTACCTACTTACTGCTAGGTGAACAGTGACAGCAAGTGTAAGGTGACTAATACCCAGGTACCTACTTACTGCTAGGTGAACAAGGGCAGCAGGTGTAAGGAAGCATGCCCATCGTTTCCACCCATACCGGGGACCACACCATGGATGCTCAGTGTGTGAGCTAAGTACGCTGCCTACCGAGCACACCATAATATTATGTCTAATATAAAACATATTCAGTACTGTACAATTTTAATTATATTCTATTGCTAAATCTAGCTGAGAGGCCGCATCATTTGTTACTGAAAACAAACTAATCATAAATTTTAATTATATGAGGACCTGTCATATATTATTATTACAATTAAAACTAAGCTCTAGACCCACAAGGATAATACATTGCTGCAGGGACCTGCCTAACATGGGCCAATAGGCTTATTGCAGTGCTCTACTGTTTTTTATCTTTATATACATAAAGTATATTGTGGATCTTCATTTGTACTATTAAGATCATTCTATATGCATAGAATAATCTTAAGTTTTGCCCAAGATCATAGGAATTCTGTGGGCCTTCAGATTATTGTATGCCCTGTACAGTAACAAAGAAATATATAAAGGATCCCAGTATAAATAAGCCACTTTGACTTTTTTTTTTAGGTTATCCTAGGTAATTTACACATGTTAAACTATGTATGATAATTGTACTTATGTGTAACTGTATCTAAATAAATTTACTTGCTTACTATTAGTATTTGAATTTATATTTGACCAATATTTGTAATAGCTGCTACAAATTATAACAAATGTTTTACAAAAAAAAGTCCATCACATTGTTTTGTAAAAAAAAATCCAAAAATGTCATCATAAGCCAAAGTGTTAAAGTCAAAGATTGCAAACTTTATCATTCTTGTAAACCAAATCAGTTATTCATCCAGTAGTTATAAATTTATTTTAAGGCTGCATGAAATGCTCTGCATAACCAGGAGCTTTCTATAATGTATGTCAATAATGTCAACCATTCCTGAATCAATTGTGAATTGTATTTTGTAGAAATAAAATTTATCATTTATCAAACCTAGTTGCCTCCTATTCCCCTATGGGTTTAGTGCTTGCCCCTAAATACTGTATGCTGTAATAAAGTTGGTAGAATTGCCAACAATATGTAAAGTAAAAGGACACAAGTGCAACTAATGTGACATTTTATTGTGGCGACGTTTCGCTCTACAGGAGCTTTATCAAGCCATTGATGGCTTGATAAAGCTCCTGGAGAGCGAAACGTTGCCACAATAAAATGTCACATTAGTTGCACTTGTGTCCTTTTACTTTACATACTGTATGCTGCATTATACAGTAATATAAAATATAATTTTTCAGCTAAGGGAATATTGTAGCCATGTGGGGAGAATTTTATGATGAAGATACCCAGACATCAGGAGAGCATCCTAACCCAAGTTTGGAGTCCAGTGGAGAACTAGACTATACAAGCGAGGATGCAGAGAGTGCAGCACCACTGCTGTCATTGAGAGACCGTTTAATCCATTTTATGGCGGCTAGTACTATCATCTTGAAAAGTCAGCAGAGGTATGAACCAGATCTAACATACCAAGAAAGGAAGGACATAGCTGAAAAGCTGCTTGATGAGAAACCAGGGCAGTTCTTATACAGGTTGGTGTATTCCATTAGTAATGGTTAATAATTTTGAATTCCCTTTCCATCAAGGAAGGTTCCTTGATGCTGGTGAGGGAATATTAATGTGGTTTACTACCTGTTCTTCCCTCCCTTTGATCAAATCTTTTTACTTCCCAGTCCCCAGGTACTGTATGATCCCCTTTGGGTTTAGCTCTCCCCTTAAATTTAATAATGGTAATAATATAATAATAATAAGTGTGAATGATGGTGAAAGTGCTTCTTTTTGGGTCATCCTACCTTGGTGGGAGAGGGCCGACATGTTAAAATAACAATAATAATAATAAACAATAAACTTTCTTAACACTTGTGGGAATCAGATGGAAATGTAAGAGAAAAAGCTTTAATAAATAACTTGTTCTATTTATTCTTTGATTTGCAGACTTCCTTGGAACTGGAATATATTTTTCAGTCAGTACAGTAATAATTTTTTTTTCTTTCTACATGCACTGTACTGTACCACCATGGGAGAAGGTAGATGTTGGTTATATATATGTTACCTTTCTATTACTTTCTGGTATCATTAGTGCATTTAATCCTTTGACTGTTTCGGTCGTATATACACGTCTTACGAACCACCGTGTTTGACGTATATACATGTAGTATACTCATAAATTCTAGCGGCTTCAAATCAAGCAGGAGAAAGCTGGTAGGCTCACATGTGAGAGAATGGGCCGGTGTGGTCAGTGTGCACCATATAAAAAGATCCTGCAGCATGCAGTGCATAATGAGAAAAAAATTACCGTTTTTTTAATTAAAACGCCGACTTTGTGGTCTATTTTTGTATAGTATTTATGGTTGTATTCTCGTTTTCTTGGTCTCATTTGATAGAATGGAAAACATATTATAGAAGTAGGGGTGATTTTGATTGGTTTTACTATGAAAAGAACCTTGAAATGGAGCTCAAAGTAGGGGAAATGTTTGATTTTTGCCCATGTTCAAAAGTAAACAAATGATGTCATTGTCCAATAAATGTCCAACTAGCCATTCTAAGTAAGTAAGTAAGTAAATTTATTAATATGCAGTCACGAATGGGTTGACATTATTTATACAATTATTACAATATTGCAGCAGTCTGCATAACAGTAAATCTATTTTTTGTTTGAATAAAAATTCAAAATAGACAGCAAGAGTAATATCAGAGGAGCCTGGAGACATGACTGATGAACAAAGAAAATGTTATTTTAGAGCCAGGAATATCTGCATTGTTCATTCTGGACCCTATTTTGAAATTGGCATATTTTTTAATTTGCATGAAATTGGCCAAATTGCCAATTTCTGACCACTTTATTGGGTAGTTGAAATCGGTAAATGGGCGGTTTCTTGTACTCAATCGATAGGACAAATGGAGCTCTAAAGAAATAGTTATGAGTTTGGTCGACTGGAACAATGGAATTAGCTGAAAATAGCGCTCAAAGTGGGGGAAATCGCCGATTCGTTAATATCGCTGAGGTCTCTAACTTTGTGAGAGCGTAATTCCGTATGTTTTCCATCAAATTTCGTACTTTTGGTGTCATTACCATTGGGAAAAGATTCTCTATCATTTCATGAGAAAAAATAATTTTTTTTTTTTAAATTTTCACGACACCAGGAGACACCTCAGGATTGGGGGTTGCGACAGTCAAGGGGTTAATGCATTTTTGTGCTTGGTAGTGGGTAAGAGGATGGATAAATATTACTGTACTTTTGCTGATGATTCCTTGTAGCTCTTCTGGAAACTTACTGGGTAGTTGACTAGGCCTGTAGGTTCCCTCATTCCAGAAGATTCCAAATAACTGACCTCATTGTCCTGCTGTCTCTTGTAAATCAACTTACAGCTAAGCCTTAAATATGATGTTACAAGGACCCCAGTGGAAATAAGTCACTTTATCTGACTTTTTTGGGGGGTTATCCTAGGTAATTTACATGTATGATATTATGTATAATGTACGTAATTGTACTTTTGTGTACCTGTATGTAAATAAACTTACTAATCAGGTGCAGTATGTCTGTCACCTTTTCCTCCATTCAAGATTAAGGCATTAACTTTGAATTTTGTGTTTTAGGAATGTGTTAAATTATAATAATAATAATAATAATAACAATAATAATAATAATAATAATAATAATAAATCTTTCTGGGTCACCCTGCCTCAGTGGGAAACAGCCAATGCATTAAAAAAAATTCTTTATTTCTACAGGCACATACAAGAAATGGAAATTCTAGATGATATACAATGAAAATGGAACATATTTTTTAATAAATTGAGAAATGTTATTTACCTGAACAGAGGAAACTGCATATTGTTATTAATAATATTTATAAGAAAATGCTAAATGTCAACATTAGAGAGAGCTTGGAGAATGGGAGGCAGTCAGGTTTGGTCCCAAAAAGGAAAAGATAGCTCCAGTTTCTTGGATCAAGAGCTCTTCATTAGCATCAAGGCGTTCTCCATGAAGGGAGGAAACAATAATTATAATGATTTCAAGAAATGCAGAAGACTTTTTATTTTTCACTTTCTTTCAGTGAACATGATTGAATAGATTGTCAGTGACCTGTGCTCATTTGTTCCAAAATTTGTAAATTGCTTAACTCTTGTAACTTTTTTTACAAACACATTGTATTTTTTTTTCACAGATTTGGAAGGCAGTTGGAGAGAGAGCATCTTCAGTATTTCTTGAAATATGAAGGGGATGCTGAAGTAGACTATTATCTTAGCGAAGCATTGAAACATAAGAATGAGCACACCAACAAGTAAGGATTATTGAAGCTAGTTCCATCAGTAACATTGAGAATAGGTTGGATGAATATATAATCCAGCATAGGTGAACCTACAGGTCATAAATAGCACAGCCTATTCTCACACCACGAGTGATAATTGTGCAGATTTGAACATTTCCCGGTTATGCTTGGCCACCTTGTTACCAGATGTATAGTGGCATTTTTTTGTTAGTTAATTTATTTGTGGCTAAATATATGTTTTTGTAGGTTCATGGACCCTGTTCTAATCCAGTCCAACCTACTGTGTATAACTTATGGTATTTGTAAGTTTATGAGAAGGATACAGTGCTGTATGACCCTTGTAGGTTCAGCGCTTCTGTTTTATTATAATAATAATAATAATAATGTAGGTAGTAGGTTAGTAGACGGCAACCGCCCAGGGAGGTACTACCGTCCTGCCAAGTGAGTGTAAAACGGAAACCTGTAATTGTTTTACGTGATTGTAGGATTGCTGGTGTCTTTTTTCTGTCTCATAAACATGCAAGATTTCAGGTACATCTTTCTACTTCTACTTACACTTAGGTCACAATACACATACATGTTTTTTTTTTTTTTCAACAAGTCGGCCGTCTCCCACCGAGGCAGGGTGACCCAAAAAAGAAAGAAAATCCCCAAAAAGAAAATACTTTCATCATCATTCAACACTTTCACCACACTCGCACATTATCACTGTTTTTGCAGAGGTGCTCAGAATACAACAGTCTAGAAGCATACACATATAAAGATACACAACATATCCCTCCAAACTGCCAATATCCCAAACCCCTCCTTTAAAGTGCAGGCATTGTACTTCCCATTTCCAGGACTCAAGTCCGACTATATGAAAATAACCGGTTTCCCTGAATCCCTTCACTAAATATTACCCTGCTCACACTCCAACAGATCGTCAGGTCCCAAGTACCATTCGTCTCCATTCACTCCTATCTAACACGCTCACGCACGCTTGCTGGAAGTCCAAGCCCCTTACCCACAAAACCTCCTTTACCCCCTCTCTCCAACCCTTTCGAGGACGACCCCTACCCCGCCTTCCTTCCCCTATAGATTTATATGCTTTCCATGTCATTCTACTTTGATCCATTCTCTCTAAATGACCAAACCACCTCAACAACCCCTCTTCTACCCTCTGACTAATACTTTTATTAACTCCACACCTTCTCCTAATTTCCACACTCCGAATTTTCTGCATAATATTTACACCACACATTGCCCTTAAACAGGACATCACTGCCTCCAACCGTCTCCTCGCTGCTGCATTTACCACCCAAGCTTCACACCCATATAAGAGTGTTGGTACTACTATACTTTCATACATTCCCTTCTTTGCCTCCATAGATAACGTTTTTTGACTCCACATATACCTCAACGCACCACTCACCTTTTTTCCCTCATCAATTCTATGATTAACCTCATCCTTCATAAATCCATCCGCCGACACGTCAACTCCCAAGTATCTGAAAACATTCACTTCTTCCATACTCCTCCTCCCCAATTTGATATCCAATTTTTCTTTATCTAAATCATTTGACACCCTCATCACCTTACTCTTTTCTATGTTCACTTTCAACTTTCTACCTTTACACACATTCCCAAACTCATCCACTAACCTTTGCAATTTTTCTTTAGAATCTCCCATAAGCACAGTATCATCAGCAAAAAGTAACTGTGTCAATTCCCATTTTGAATTTGATTCCCCATAATTTAATCCCACCCCTCTCCCAAACACCCTAGCATTTACTTCCTTTACAACCCCATCTATAAATATATTAAACAACCATGGTGACATTACACATCCCTGTCTAAGACCTACTTTTACCGGGAAGTAGTCTCCCTCTCTTCTACACACCCTAACCTGAGCCTCACTATCCTCATAAAAACTCTTTACAGCATTTAATAACTTACCACCTATTCCATATACTTGCAACATCTGCCACATTGCTCCTCTATCCACTCTATCATATGCCTTTTCTAAATCCATAACTGCAATAAAAACTTCCCTATCTTTATCTAAATACTGTTCACATATATGCTTCAATGTAAACACCTGATCTACACATCCCCTACCCACTCTAAAACCTCCTTGCTCATCCGCAATCCTACATTCTGTCTTACCTCTAATTCTTTCAATTATAACCCTACCGTACGCTTTTCCTGGTATACTCAGTAAGCTTATTCCTCTATAATTTTTACAGTCTCTTTTGTCCCCTTTCCCTTTATATAAAGGGACTATACATGCTCTCTGCCAATCCCTAGGTACCTTCCCCTCTTTCATACATTTATTAAACAAAAGTACCAACCACTCCAACACTATATCCCCCCCTGCTTTTAACATTTCTGTCATGATCCCATCAGTTCCAGCTGCTTTACCCCCTTTCATTTTACGTAATGCCTCACGTACCTCCCCCACACTTACATTCTGCTCTTCTTCACTCCTAAAAGATGGTATACCTCCCTGACCAGTGCATGAAATTACTGCCTCTGTTTCTTCCTTAACATTTAAAAGTTCCTCAAAATATTCTTGCCATCTACCCAATACCTCCATCTCCCCATCTACTAACTCCCCTAGTCTGTTTTTAACTGACAAATCCATATTTTCCCTAGGCTTTCTTAACTTGTTTAACTCACTCCAAAATTTTTTCTGATTTTCATTAAAATTTCTTGACAGTGCCTCTCCCACTCTATCATCTGCTCTCCTTTTGCACTCTCTCACCACTCTCTTTACCTTTCTTTTACTCTCCATATACTCTGCTCTTCTTATAACACTTCTGCTTTGTAAAAACCTCTCATACATGTACAAGCATATATATACACACCCCTCTGGGTTTTCTTCTATTTTCTTACTAGGCCTTGCTCTTGTTTATTTCCTCTTATCTCCATTGGGAAGTGGAACAGAATTCTTCCTCCGTAAGCTATGTGTGATGTAAGAGGCGACTAAAATGCCAGGAGCAAGGGGCTAGTAACCCCTTCTCCTGTATAAATTACTAAATTTAAAAAGAGAAACTTTTGTTTTTCTTTTTGGGCCACCCTGCCTTGGTGGGATACGGCCAGTTTGTTGAAAAAAATATAATAATAATAATGAGAAGCATTAATATATAGTAAAATGAGGATAGGTTGAACAGCAGTGTTATGTTGATCAGTCACCAATAATGCTTGGTCTCTAACTAGGTTCTGAGTAGGACAGCATTGAAAATAGGAAAATAACAAGTATTCCAGTGATGTATCTGAATGAATATTGGCTGTTATCAATCTCAAAAATACCAGCATTATTTTTTTTTTTTTAAGGGAGTTGCTTAAATAGTATAGCTTTTTGGTAGTTTGGCACAAACACTTGAAATATTCAGGCAGCCACTTATAGTACCCCTTGAGGGATACTTAATATATGTTTTATAAAACTATTTAGCTGTTTCTCTTAACTGTTTCTTATAGTAGTCCCCCTCCATCCTTTGTCCTTGAAGGGAGAACAGTGGGAAAACACTTGTGATAAATACCTAATAAGAAATTAATGTTATTACTGTATTTCATCTTCAGAATTATAATCCGGAATAGAAGATACTCAGCTCTGCAGAAACTTCGCAGCACTGGAGATTATTTCAGTGAAAAAGAGATGGAACGCCGAAACCCACTTTTGTATGATCAGCTTATTGGGAAGCACCAAACAAAAGAAGAGAGAGAAGATAGATATAAAATAGACAGCAGTAATGTCAGGTAAATACAGTAAAGTATAACAAATCTGGCATGATAGGGACAAAGTAGTTGCTAAATTCCAGGTTGGTAAATTTGAAGTGTATGAGCAGCCAGAATGTTAGCCTAACATTGCCATACCTTTACTAACATTTTTATCATTTACTGTACAGAATGTTTGTACATTATGTATAAAATTTGAATACTGTACAGTATTTAAAAAACTACCGTCCTGCCAAGTGAGTGTAAAACGAAAGCCTGTAATTGTTTTACATGATGGTAGGATTGCTGGTGTCTTTTGTCTGTCTCATAAATATGCAAGATTACAGGTATGTCTTGCTACTTCTACTTACACTTAGGTCACACTTCACATACATGTACAAGCATATATATACACACCCCTCTGGGTGTGTATATATATGCTTGGGCCACCCTGCCTTGGTGGGATATGGCCAGTTTGTTGAAAAAAAAAAAAATTAAAAACTGGGAGCAAGGGGCTAGTAACCCCTTCTGTATACACTACTAAAGTTAAAAAGAGAAACTTTTATCTTTCTTTTTGGGCCACCCTGCCTCAATGGGATACAGCTGGTTTGTTGAAAGGAAGAAAGATTTAAAAAACTGGTTTAAAAGCATAATTTTGTTGAATTGTGTTTGCAGCAAGCAGGTAGTAGTGTAGCCGACATGATTACTGAACCTGAATTCAAGATGCGAGTTGAGACCTTGGCTTGTACGTATTTGTCAAAGTGATGTGATAAGTTGCCTCTTCAGGATTATTACCTAATTATTACATCACCTTGCTAGATATAAGCCAAAATGTCAAGTCACATTTTGGCTTATATATAGCTGGGTGTCATAATGTTGACTTTACCACATTAATGCCTGCGTGCTGCAAATGGACCTCTATAATATAAATATATTTTTCTGACACTTCTTGATAAAATTTGCATTTTTTTGCACATAAATCATGTTAAGTAATGCATGTGTTTGTGTGTTTATGAGGAAGACCATTCTAATAAATATGTGAGATTCCTGTTAATAAGATGCTGTCTCCACCTGTTTAACCTAGTGTTTGTTCATCTCAAGTGTCTGGTGTCTTAATGTTGCTGTGCTACCACAATATCTGTCTTGTCTGTGCTTTTATAGTAAATCATTTAGACAAAGGCATGAAATATATGTTTGTAATTTATTCTCCAGCATGGTTGTTCAAAATAATTATTTAATTTATCTATTGTTGTTATTATATTAACAGGGAAGTTCTAAACCAGTCAGAGGTCAAATAGTGCCTGGAAAATTGCAGGGAATCAGGTTTGATCCCTTTTAAATTTAGTTCTGCCACCTGATAATAATGCAGGAAAAAACAGTAGGTATTAGGGTGATGAGTAAACAACCATTCTGCTGGAAAGGATTATTATAATCAAATAAAGCGCTAAACTGACAAGGGTCATGCAGTGCTGCGTGCTGGAGAGGAAGAAGTGTAATACTGCACACACATAGAAGAATAGTCTTTAATTAGTACATAAGGAAAGTTTTCTTTCTTAGAACTTCCACCATTTTTTACTTATGTCAACCTTATTTGCAAAGACTAAGCATGGAAATAAAACCTGAACATTAAACCATGTATTATCTTCAGTTATTTTCTTTTATCACAGATTTTCCAGCATCCTTTTAGATCACATTGACAAATGTACTGACAATACCATTAAAAAGCTACAAGAAGATCAAGAGGATGAAATGTTTGAGGAAGAAGAAGATACTGACAATGAGGAAGTGAATAGTCCTGTTGAATCACGAAAAAAACAACTGTTTAAGGAAGAGTTCTACTCAGTAGGATATCACAACTTTTTGAGAGGGAAGGATGAAGATTTTGATTATGGGTAAGGAAATCAGAATTGCAAAATTCTGTTTATATTTATGATTATGTGAAGATGGGTTTTGAACATTCCAGCAAAAAGGATTATATAGGCAGTGGAGGTGTCATGTATAGGAGTGTGAATATTATTTAGTGTAGAAATTAAAAAGGCAGTGTGGGGTGACCATGGCTGAGAAGATTTTTTGAGGGGATTTAGGCATGTAGAGAGGATAGAGAGGGATAGGATGCTGACGAGGGGTGCATAAACCTGGGGTGGAAGGTAGGAAGGGTATGGGCCATCTCAGGAATGGTTGGTGAGGAAGAGTGGGGGGGAGGGGTTAAAAGGCTTTTGAGTTTTAGGGGCTTGGGCATGGGGCAAGCATGTGTGAGCATGTTAAATAGCAGTGAATGGAGACAAGTGGTATTTAATGGATGTGTTGTTGGAGTGTGACCAAGGTAATGTTTATGAAGTGATTCAGGAAAACTGGTTGGCTTAACTCAAGATCTAGAAGTGGAAAGTACAGTATTTGTACTCTAAAAAAGGGGTGAGGATGTTGCAGTTTGGTAAGGTCATTCTAACTGTGATGTTAGCACCCTTCTGGCAAGACAAAGTGATGGTAAGTGTGTTTCCTCTTTTAAGTTATCCTTCATTAGTGGAAGGTGTGCAGTGTGCTAAAAAAAAAAACACTAGTATGTATAATACCTGGACAAAATGTTTTATGAATCAGTTTTATTGTTTACCTGTTCACAAAATATTAACTTAAATGTTTATAAAATCTAAACTGTAATTGTGCATCATTTTCATTTTTTTTTTTTAGCCAAGTTGACACCAGTGATGATTATGATCCTCTTGACATTCGTGCAAGAGATGAGGAAGAAAGATATTTTGATGAAGATGAGGAAACCCACAGTGACACAGGAATGTGTTGCACCAGCAGTAGTATGAAAAATTCTGATGTTCAAAATACTGAACAAGAAACTTCAAGTAAAATTCTTGAAAATGGTGAAGCTTTTAAAAATGACGAAGTGGATACTTGCAGAACATTTGAAGTTGATTATGAGACCATGGAGCCAGAGAGTATTGACCAATGTTTGATGGACATTGCTGATATACATTTAACTTCTAAGACTTGATGCAATAATGGTAATAAAACATGGCTATTTTAAACTTTATCCAGTAATATATTTTTTGAGTTTCTTTGCTGGAAACAGAAAAAAGTATCATTAACTAGGAATGCAAGACACATCAGCAGAAAGTTTTGATACACTAATAGTTTTTTCCAAAAAACCTTTAATAAAACATTTACATTCCAGAAACAATAGTGAAGTGCTTCTGTTAGACAATTTTTTTTATAAATCTGATGTAATATAAATTTGACAATAAATCCTATTGTTATTGATACAATATATGAAATTTTACATATGTGCTAAATTAATTTGAAGGGCAGTATATAAAAATATACCCTGTGTTATATTAGTGCCTGCTATTAGGTAGTATATCCGATACCATGGAAGGCAATTATGGATGGAGAAATAAGTATAATATTTGTGTTGTCACGTTCTTATGTGCACCCAGAGACTACCCTCCTTTTATGACATGGAACCTTGAAAGGCTATTTAGAATGTCTCCAACAGCAGGATTAAATTTTTCCTTCATGGTTCACCTGGTTGTTATCAAGTTACTAGAGGAATATTTTCTCAAATCCTGAATCAAATGGGACTTCACCCCATAGTGCTGGTTCCTTTTCAAATGCAGTGGCAGTTTACAAACCATCTTTATGGAAACCGGTACAATGCTGTCAGCCCCTCAAGGGAGGTTCCTTGATACTGGTGAGGGGCTCTTGATCTAGGGAATTGGATCTGTGCTCAATTATTATTATTATAATAAAAAAGAAGTGCTAAGCCACAAGGGCTATACAGCATCTGTGCTCAAGTTCCCTGAATTAAGCCTGAATACCTTCCATCTTCCCCCCACATGCGCTGTATAATCCTACGAGTTTAGCACTCCCCCATGATTATAATAATTATATAACAATGCTGCCAGTGGCAGTAACATTTCCTAAAATGTTAAAACACCCACAAAGATTGTTCGAAACAGCATCTCTGACTTTTCTTACCCACCGTTTTATAGCTGTGAAAGCTCTCACTTTGGCCTATTGCTTTCAATGCATTCTATATTCAACCCAAAAACAGTCAAATTTTTTGGCCCCAAATCATGTGCTACTGACAGTGATCAGTCAAGACATTTCATGCTTCCCAAGCAGACACTTTATCCATGTAACAAGATGTAGATGACATCCCCTTCACCGTCCATTGATATGCTCAATTTAATTCGACCTCCAGGGTGTTGTTCCTCATCTAATGTCTCGCTACCAGCTTTATGTAGATTGTAGATATTTGTTGCCAGATCAAGCTCATGAAGTTGCTTATTGTTGAAGTGGAGAATTTTGTTCATCCTGTACATGGGCACTGCCAAGTTCAAGCTTAGCTGTAATAAGTTCTCTGCAACTGTTTATTTAAAGAGTTGTTGGTTAGAGCTCTTTCCGACTCCTTGGCAATGTAACTGCTGGCACTTTTGAAACCTAACAAAATACTGTCATTCAATTCATGCTAGGATGGGTATGGGGTGCATAATAAAGATATTAAACTAAAACTCACCTAGAGAATGTCCCACCTGCAATTGAAAGGATGTCCACCTTACTGTACCCTTCATATCAGTTACTTTCTGTGGTTGGGGAAATATGGTCTTCGTTGATGATGTAGTTGCTCTGCATGGGACTTCTTACCCCAGTGTGGCTGTAGTTTGTGAAAGTAATTAAATGCTTCCCCAATGCTTGCCATGTATGGAGACCCATCCATATATTGCACTTCCTGTTTCCACTTGCCTGAAAACTGAGCCTAACCTTTAGAGTTGTGATGCCTCGGTAGCCAACACACTTCTTTGGTGGGTGGATAGAGATAAAACAGGTGAATTGGCATTGGCCCCTTCTGAATAAATTTGCTTGTTCTGTTGTTTCATGCACTGCTGTATAACCCTTGTGGGTTTAGATCTTAGTTATTACAATAAGAATAATAATAATAATCTATCGCATCATTACTGTTATCTGGTAGTAGGCTGCATATTAGCCTGCTTGTGTTTTTGCTGCCTAATCTTGCTGTTCATCCATTTTGGTTCATTGCCATCTTGTGGATGGCATGCTTCTGTGAAAAGGAAGTTCAGTGGTGTTTGGCAGGTAAGGTGGTTCTTGGCCTGACAATCTACATTGGAGGATATGTTTAGCCATTGTAAAATGAACATCAGAACATAAACATCTTTTTGGTCTTGTGGCTGAAATCAAACCCTCTGCTGGATACTCTTGGGTACCACTCTATTACCCTGAGGCTGTTGTGTGTTGGACACAGCGGTGGGTGGGGTAAGGATTTATTTGCACTATCTTACACCTGTGACTGGTTTTGAGGGCTTTTCTATTCCTGCAGCCTAGCCTAAGTCCAGACTACTCTGTTGACCACAGTCAGTCAAGCTACCCTGCTGACCACATAGTCAATCAGGCTACCCTGTTGACCATAGTCAACCAGGCTACCCTGCTGACTACATAGTCAACCAGGCTGTGGTAATGACCCTGAGGCCCATATAACCATCATAACCCAACTGATCTGGTACCTTTAGTGGGAAGCTGTCCAACTTTTCATTCTGGCAGTACAAGTATTTCTGATATCTGCTGGCAGTATGTTGAAGTGTCTTGGACATTGACAGTGTTCTCTAATTGTACCCATGGCCTTTCTGCTTCAGTGAGTTTATTCTACATTGTTTCCCATATCTTTCACTCCAGTAAGCTGCTAAAGCAATGTGTAAGTTAGGGACCAAGCCCTAGAGTATCCTCCATATACTGTATATATTATCAGATATCTCTTCTCCATTTCAGAGCCAATAATCCAGTTACTGAGGTATTAAAAGTAGTTTAGATGTGGTATTAATTTTGTGTGAGCAATATATGACCTCTATAATTTTCCGTTTTCCCCCAGTGCCTCATCACAGGGCCTTTCTATGTGAAATTATTTTGCAGTCCATCTATTGTAAACTTTTGGTGACATCTTACCTGATGTTAACCAGAATCTTGACTTTGCTAAATGCACATACTGATTTCCAGTGCAAATAAGGTCTTTGCTCCATATATATTTTCCAAATGACTGTTAATTGTCCTGTGATAAATATATCTAGCTACAGGAGGGCCCTGTTTATATAGCAGGTTAGGTTTTGGGCTACCACCATTAAGTGAAACGACCTTTATTTACTTTCAAATGCCTATAAAAGCCTGATAACGTGTTTACAGTATCATATACGTATTAAGTGAGCAATAGAGCTATGCCTTAAAAATGCATATACAGTACACACATTACTTACCATAAAATATTTTCCTACTTGATGATGAATATATTTATTGCAGGTAGCCTGAATAAATGAAGAATGGGTATAATTGAAAACCGTGGTACTAGCGAAACATTGTAAAGCAAAGCCCCTCCTGTATATAGAAAAGAGCAATTGTTTACACATGGGAAAGTGAAATGCTTTCAAATTTATATATTTATTTGTAAAATTATATAAAACTTGAGAATGAATTCCCCAAGAAGACTTTGATAAGAAGACTCCTTTACATTATGAAATGGATAGACTGGGATTCACCTGAAAAAATTCTATGTAAGCACTGTCAACAGACATAACACCATTGATGTTTTTGTACTTTTTAAGTTTACACACAATATGGACAGTAATTCTCTTGCTAATTATGATTAAAGAAACTCCCACCTAGTAGCTCGGCTAAATGTTAAGCACCGAACAGTGTATCATTAAGGAAATAAACTGATAAAATTATCAAAATAAAATAATGGTATGTGATCACCACTAACTTGTGACTGATACTGTACCTCTATATCCAATATAACATGAGAAATAATTTATAAGCTGCAGTATATTAGACATACAGTTTAAAATATGCAAGTTTTTGAAAGCAGGAATCTGTATATACTGTGCGTTGTCTTATTTATTACCTATTTAAAAATAATCAAAGCACAGCCATAATATATCACATATATACAAGAGAGGATTCCTGTATAGAAATGAACTAACTTGCCTCTATGATATTTAACACCAAAAAGTAATATGCAGTAGTTCAGATTCTTATTTTATTATCCAGATTTAATGTCCTCCAACCTCATAAAACTGTGGCAAAGCATTTTATATATTTCAGTATAACACCTATCAAACTTATTACCAGTATGTGACAGTGAGTAACCACACAGTGCCAATTTTATACTCTACCAATTAAATTTTGAAACAGGATTAAGTTTAAATATCATCTTCTGTCAACAAACTGGCTGTATCCCACTGAGGCAGGGTGGCCCAAAAAGAAAAACAAAAGCCCCTCTTAACATTAGTAATGTATACAGGAGAAGGGGTTAATAGCCCTTGCTCCCGGCATTTTAGTCGCCTACTATGACATGCATGGAAGTTTAAACATATTTTGACATAAAATCTAACCAATTTTTCTTTCAAAATAAATTTCTTTTACTTATCTACTTAGTCTAATTTCCCATTTCTTTTGTCCACTATTCAAATGATAAAGTGCAGCAAGACCATTTCAACACTTTTACTATTATTTCATAATGCTAATTTATTCCTATTTTTTTTATATCTTTCTCATTCCACTATTCCATTCATAAATACTACAAGCAGTCCTCACTTTTATGAAAAATTCCCTTTAATTGAAGGTGATTGTTATTAATACTATATTCACTGGAAACACCAAAACCAGTAGGAATTATGCAGCATCTGGGGAATGGGAGGTAATCAAGTTTGTTCTGAGTAAAGGAAGGATAACTTCCATTTCATGGATCAAAAGACCTTCACTGGAATAGAGGCACCACCTTTGAAGGATTATAGATGATGAGACATTAGGGAACAATCTTTTTATAATTAATGTGGAATTTAGTTTTGCTGCTTGTTAGTTAGTTTTGCCAGTCTAGAGCGTAGAAGTGCTCCCTAGAATATACTGTACTGTATTTTGAAACAAATGGCAGCCCACATGACAGGTTACATTAGTTACTTCTTTGCCTATAACTAGTGTATAAAATTTATGTTGCACCACAACTGAAATGAGTCTTATAAGGCTAACTAGTGAAAATGCCATAGTAATGATGCAAGAGTATAATTATTATATTAATGGAAGTTGTAAAACCACAGGAGTCATGCAGTACATGGGATACTGGAGATAATCAAGTTCTATCTGAGGAAGGGGGGCTTTTAGCTTTAATTCCTCAGATCAAGAGCCTATCACTGGCATCAAGATGCCCTTTTCCCCTACATCCTTTCCCATACAGTGGGTAAGAGGAAAAAGCATTAGTTAGGAAACATTTTATGACCAATATTGTGATCCATCTCTGGGAGGTGCTGGCTTTAATAAATACAATTTTGCATTTCTGAGTTAATATTCTTGCTCTTAACCTTTTAGCATTCCAAGGCCCATTGGAGGCCACATCTGGAAAGGTTCCGGAGCCCAATTTGGATACACAAAATTGTTGAAACTGCCTCTTAACAGGAAAACTCACTGTCATCCTTAAGTAACTGGTCAGATAGGCCTAACTCTTGTCAAAAGGAAGCGAGGAGAAGAAATGTGAAGCTCTGAAGTTCTAGACCAGGGAGCGAGTGATTCCCAACACTTGTAAGTTGGAATAATAACTTTTTATCTAGACTCACTTTAAAAAAAAAAAAAATCAAAATCTGTGAAAGACATGGGAAAATTCACAGGGGTAAAAAGGTCTAAGAATGTACCAATCTATAATATACTTGAAGGACATGCAAATCCCACCAGCATTTTTAAGATGGAATGGTAAAAGGTTAAATTATAAGCCTAAAAATATTTAATCCTAGAACATATTTCAACTTGCGTAAAAGAAATCCGTTGACAAGCAAAAATCCATTTACACACGTACTTATGGAACACAACACCATTACGTGGAGACTGTACTTTTACTGTATACGTTACTTGGAATTTTGTAACTGTTTTGTTTTTGGTTTCATCTGGCTCATTTCTTCTATGTTAAAATTATAGCAAGATTAATTTATTACAATACATTAACTCTTAAACAAAAATTATTACTATTACTGTAAATTAAAAAAGTAAATGTAAAGTCCATGTAGGTTATATACCACTGCTTGGAAACTTTTTTCCAAATATCTTTTTATTAAAAAGTATTCACCAGGAATATGCTGTGTAAATTATATCTGTCCAGCCACACCACATTTTTTGCTGTATATATACTATTATTGTACTTTTATTAAAAATAAATTTGTAAATAAAAATAAGAATTATTCTTTGAACCCTATCTTGTATGTACTGTAGGTGATACAGTACAGGGAAGTGAAATTTTTCTCAGCACTTAATACCAGCAGTTCCCAAATTGTCAAACAAACTTAATCCTGTGTCAAAAAGAATTAAAGGAGAAATAAAGGTAAGTTTCACTTAACAACAGTTCAAAATACTATACAATGATTAGTTAAAAACAGCTGATACTTTAAAGAAGACATTTGCACTACGACACGTTTAGGTTTTCTTTTATGACAAATGTCACAGCTTGTTTGGCTGACGGTGGCCTGCATCTCCTGCTAAGCTGAAGAAACACATGGCAAGGTTTATGCACTAAGTGGTGGTGTTGAGTACCTAGTGTTTTGAAACATCAAGGCATGCCTTATGGGTCATACAAGCATATTTTTTTTATGCTGCTTCAGTGTTGCATGTTTTACTGCAGCTAATGTGAGTTCCAAAATGGAGTCACATACTTTTGGTAGATGTGGTTATATTTCTTTAAATACTGTTGAAGTTACATTGCTCTAACAGTGTGAATATTGAAATTTTTAAGTGCAAAAGTACAATATACTGTATAAGGTCTAGTAAAGCCACCAAGCACATTTTGTATATACAGTACTGTACTGTATATCATATGGCTCGATTTTATTCTCCATTTAAAACTATGTTGATAGTTCTAGTGGCCATATTTTCTTGATTACTTCAATGGTATTAATATTGGAACTTATAATAAAGCTGAACCAAAGAAAACCACATGGCATTTAGTAAAGCTACTTAGCATGTTAAAAAAAATTGTATAGATAGAAATGATTTTTAATGTTCAGCTTAGTCAACAGTTTATTTGCTGCATTTAATTAAACATTACTCTAATGCCATTAATACAGGAACTCCATTGGTAATGCTCATAAAATCAATTGAACACATTTTTGAAAACATTCTAGCAGGAGTTTTGATGATGATAGCTCATATGACTAGGCTAAGAGTGAGACCACCACAAGTGTTGTGATAGCAGTTCTTGTGACTGTAGGCTACGAGGAAGACTACTACATTTCATGTCAAGTACTGATACCAACAATGTGCCTATTGTTAATAAGTGTTTCTTGTATTTTCTTTATCTCACTTGTTTTTAAACCAATTTTTTAATTCTTTGTAAACATGCTGTTCAGTCTGTGTAAGCAAAGTACTGTATATTTGTTTTCTTCCAGGAAATCATTTCCATTTATTTAATGAATATTAATGGGAAAATATGTCTGGAAGTATATAATTAATATACAGTTGACCCTTGAAGGTGGGGTTAGGGGCGCCAACCCCCTGTGCAGTCAAAAATCCACGCATAATGTTTGACTCCTCAAAAACTTTACTAATGGCCTACTGTTGACCACAAGCCTTACCAATAACATAAAACAGTCGATTAACTTATATTTTGTGTATTTTTTTTTTTCAACAAGTCGGTCGTCTCCCACCGAGGCAGGGTGACCCAAAAAAGAAAGAAAATCCCCAAAAAGAAAATACTTTCATCATCATTCAACACTTTCACCACACTCACACATTATCACTGCTTTTGCAGAGGTGCCCAGAATACAACAGTTTAGAAGCATATACGTATAAAGATACACAACATATCCCTCCAAACTGCCAATATTCCAAACCACTCCTTTAAAGTGCAGGCATTGTACTTCCCATTTCCAGGACTCAAGTCCGACTATATGAAAATAACCGGTTTCCCTGAATCCCTTCACTAAATATTACCCTGCTCACACTCCAACAGATCGTCAGGTCCCAAGTATCATTCGTCTCCATTCACTCCTATCTAACACGCTCATGCACGCTTGCTGGAAGTCCAAGCCCCTCGCCCACAAAACCTTTACCCCCTCTTTCCAACCCTTTCGAGGACGACCCCTACCCCTCTTTCCTTCCCCTATAGATTTATATGCTTTCCATGTCATTCTACTTTGATCCATTCTCTCTAAATGACCAAACCACCTCAACAACCCCTCTTCTGCCCTCTGACTAATGCTTTTATTAACTCCACACCTTCTCCTAATTTCCACACTCCGAATTTTCTGCATAATATTTACACCACACATTGCCCTTAGACAGGACATCTCCACTGCCTCCAACCGTCTCCTCGCTGCTGCATTTACCACCCAAGCTTCACATCCATATAAGAGTGTTGGTACTACTATACTTTCATACATTCCCTTCTTTGCCTCCATAGATAACGTTTTTTGACTCCACATATACCTCAACGCACCACTCACCTTTTTTCCCTCATCAATTCTATGATTAACCTCATCCTTCATAAATCCATCCGCCGACACGTCAACTCCCAAGTATCTGAAAAACATTCACTTCTTCCATACTCCTCCTCCCCAATTTGATATCCAATTTTTCTTTATCTAAATCATTTGATACCCTCATCACCTTACTCTTTTCTATGTTCACTTTCAACTTTCTACCTTTACACACATTCTCAAACTCATCCACTAACCTTTGCAATTTTTCTTTAGAATCTCCCATAAGCACAGTATCATCAGCAAAAAGTAACTGTGTCAATTCCCATTTTGAATTTGATTCCCCATAATTTAATCCTACCCCTCTCCCAAACACCCTAGCATTTACTTCTTTTACAACCCCATCTATAAATATATTAAACAACCATGGTGACATTACACATCCCTGTCTAAGACCTACTTTTACCGGGAAGTATTCTCCCTCTCTTCTACACACCCTAACCTGAGCCTCACTTTTTTTTTTTTTTTTTTTTTTTTTTCAACAAGTCGGCCGTCTCCCACCGAGGCAGGGTGACCCAAAAAAGAAAGAAAATCCCCAAAAAGAAAATACTTTCATCATCATTCAACACTTTCACCACACTCGCACATTATCACTGTTTTTGCAGAGGTGCTCAGAATACAACAGTCTAGAAGCATAAACATATAAAGATACACAACATATCCCTCCAAACTGCCAATATCCCAAACCCCTCCTTTAAAGTGCAGGCATTGTACTTCCCATTTCCAGGACTCAAGTCCGACTATATGAAAATAACCGGTTTCCCCTGAATCCCTTCACTAAATATTACCCTGCTCACACTCCAACAGATCGTCAGGTCCCAAGTACCATTCGTCTCCATTCACTCCTATCTAACACGCTCACGCACGCTTGCTGGAAGTCCAAGCCCCTTACCCACAAAACCTCCTTTACCCCCT